GGGGGGCGCTCCGGACCCCTGCCCCCCCCGCCCAGCGAGAGGCCCCCGCCGCCCGTCAGAGACCCCCCCAGCCGATCAGGTAGGGAGCCGGGGGGCTGAGGGTCCTGAGCTTGGTGGGGGTTGAACAGATGGGCACGGTGGGATGAAGTGACGATTATTTATGGAAAGGGGAAATTTTCGGTTTGCCCAACAGTGGCGTTGGCCGTGCCCCTTGGAGCGTAACCCAAAATCTTCAGCTGGCCTGCCCTGATGCAGCCCTGCAGGTGCTTCGCCTGCTGTGACCCAGAAGGAGCACCGTCGGATCGCTCTGACTGGGGCGTCGCTTTTTCGCCATGTGCGATGCACAGAAGTGCTGGAGGAGCACGATGCGGCGTGGGGCAGCCCCTTCCCCTGCGAGCTGCTGCCATGCACGCACCTGCTTTGCATGGGCAACAAACAGTGCTGTTAGGCACAAGGGATTCTGCAGTTGGAAATCAGGGTTTACGGGCACCACGGTGGCTTAAGGAAAGTCACTGCGCATCACCAGCCTGCTCACGTGCACTTTTGCAAATCTCAGTAACTTTCGTTATAATTACTGTAATTAAAAGGGTTGCAAACGGGGGTTTCCCCATTATGTTCTTCGACGCAAAGAAGCTGTTTTATCTAGCTTCTGATAGGTGACAGCATTTGCCTTCCTGAGTCAACCAGCATGAGTTAATGGGCGTTCTCGTGAATGGAGGTTTGCAGAACCTGACCTTCTGCGTGTTGGGAGACACGAACACTTACAGCCAAATACAAATTATTTTAATGAAAGACCTAGCCAACAGTTGTTAAATGTAATGGCAATTGTTACAGCGTGCCTAACTCTTGTTACTCACCATATGCAGGTTTCAAATGAGGCTAAAGATAGAATTGTCTCCTTTGAGTTATTTCATAATATACTTTGTCCTCTGTGACAGCTATTGTTCATAACTTCTAAGAGTTGCACATCGTAACTTAGCTCTCTTAATACCTGATGGTTCTCCCTTTGGAGGTGAGAGAACTTAGGCACAAACAGCCAGGCCCTGTAACATCGGGAAGGAAGAAGCATTGCCACAGAAGGCAACGCTGGGAAGCTCCATAGAGTTGCCTTTCATTTCATCCTTTGGAATAAAAATCTGGAATCATCTCAAACCCGCACAGTCCCGGACAATAGAGATGAATGTCATGGGAGCTCCCATAGGTGACAGCCATCCGTGTTGCTTTCTAGCTCCTTGAACCAGCCTGGATCTCCTATAGCACAGCACCTGCAGCAGCTGTGGAGCTACAGAAAATACTGGCCCCAAAACTGTGCTTTGTGGAGCTGGTTACCAGCCCAAAGGATGGCACAATGCCAGCGCAGCCTGCAGTAAACAAATCAGAGAAATCTTGTCCCGTTTGACTGGGAGCATGGATCAAAGTTGCAGAGAGTGCAATTATTCAGACACTTCCAAGAACTTCTTCCGTGATGGCCTCTGCTTCCACCGGTGCTTTCCTTGTTGGCTCTTTTCTGAGGCAGATGGTTTTAGCAAATCTGCACTACCTTTCTGCTGGCTTAGTAAGTAGAAGGAAGTCGTAGCAATAAACTATAAATGTAAATACTCCTGTTCTGAAGCGGTTCAATATAGATGATGGGGTTTAGGTAGGTTTAGAGAGAGAGCAAGCAAAACTATGCTGAAAGTTGCTAAATGCTTCTCATTCTTAGAAACCATTCCCTAAAGGCAAATTTTAGTAATTTGTGAAAAAAGAAGAGGAAAAAAAAAAAAGAAAAAAAATCCACAAAGTACAGCATGTTTCTTGAAGCATGTTTCAATGCTTGTTGCTGGAGACACAGTATCTGCTGCTCTCTTTTTCAAAATGCACGTCTGTAGCTAATTTTCATTAGGACGAGGAAGCATTTCATAGAAATGAACATAATTGTCAGTTGCCCAACTGTGCCAAACAGAGGTAGCGAGACCTTTGAACACGCATAGCCCTCCACACCCTCTGCTTCATCTCCTCGTGTCCTAACCATGGGTACCTCTCTCCCTGGCAGCAGCAGCTTTCCTGCCTTTATTTACTGGCTTCTCTCGGAGAAGTGCTCTTCCCCTGCCCTCAGGACAGCCCTGGTCCTGTGTTACGTGGGCTGTGCCTTTGTATTTGACCAGTCGCCACACCAGTTACTCAGATACACGGACACTGGGAATGCCAGTCTAGGTGTGAGGTCTGTTTCCAGTTTAGCGGGAGGTGGATATGCTCCAGCTACTGAAAAACCTGGCATGCAGCACTTATGTTTATAAATGAGCGAGCTGATGCCATGCTGCTTAACGCTGCCACTTCTGGGCTGAATTCCCCTGTGCGCCACCGCAGACCCTGGCTGTGACACCCAGAGGGGACCACCCCTACGGACAAAGAGCCTCTGAGGGTAGCAGAGCTCTTCTGCTACACGTCCTCTTGCCTTGCAATGGTACATGGAAAGGAAATGGGCTATGGTTTGCACCTCCATAGTACTCTGAATTCCAGCTGTAACTTCTGCTCGTTGTGGCTGACGTAATTTAGAGTCGTTTAAAAGTGGCTTCAAGGACCAGCACCTCTAGAGAGGCTTCTGTAGCTGAGGGAAATGGGAATATGGGCACTGAGGTGTATTTGTGCTTAGATGTGCCCTGCTCCCCTGATCTCTATTCTTCAAATCAGCACCAACTCCCTGGAGAGCTCTGGAGAGCAGGGAAGTGGGTGCTGAAGGTGATTCCTCCTTCGGGCCCCAGGCTAGCCCACACTCTCCGGTTTGTTAGCGGGAGGCTGTGGGATGCAGGCAGCAGCTTACCACCGGCAGAATAACCCCTGGTGCAAACAGTGTTTGTGTGCTTGCCTCTTGTCTTGCTCCAGGCCCCCTCCCACCACCTCCTCCCATAAGCAGGAATGGAAGCACTTCAAGGGCTTTGCCTGCTGCTCCCCAGCTGCCCTCCCGGGCAGGGCTGGACAACCAGAGAGGTGCACCACGACCGCCGCTTCCCCCCGACCGGCCGGGCTCAGCAGCGCCGCCGCCACCACCACCGCCTTCATCAGCTGTCAGAAACGGCTTCCAGGATGCAGGTGATGGTAAGCCATCCTCCCAGTTGTTTGCCTTTGATAGAGACCGTGTAGCAGCTTTTGGCCTTAATACGTCAAAAAAGGTTTGGGATAGAGGCTTTGTTTCTAGTGCAGACCTTTGATTTCTGGCCAACAGAGGTGTCATTTGGGTCTCGATTAACCCTGACAAGTAAGAACGGAGTAAATATGCCATACATAGAGCAGAACTGCAAAGTCGTCAATACAGTCTCCAAAATAACCCTTTGAAAAATAGCATGGAAAAAAAGAAACGTATTCATCATGCTTTGCTTTGCTACAATGCAGAAATAAGGCCTAAGGGGATTGTTCTGACTCTAATACAAATTCAAACTGTAGCTACACTAAGACTCTTTGGAAGTCAGAACAAGTTAGATGATGACTCAAAAGCTGAAAGCTGAAAAACAGATGAGGGAAGAGATTGTCAGAACACTGCTGAAAATGTCAAGTATCTCTCTTTTTGCTAGTGTTTATTGAAAAGGTGAGGTCCAAGATTGCTGTGTTTTAAAGGTTCATCATGCTTTTCTTTTTAATTGTTTTCTATTTGCAAAGGACAGATAAATCTTTCAGCTAACTATGGGAGGCCAAAATTGGTATTTCTAACATTTATAAGGTAGAAAAAGCAAGCAGAAAATAAAACTGTAACTCACGCTTTTGAAGCATCTTCACATATCAGATAAGGCAGGTGGGTCACAGACACGCTTTTTCCTACACAAGTCATTTGCAGGGTTCAGAACCTGCAGCTCCTTTACACACTGGTTTCTAATTGCAACCATTGGGAGTAAACGTAGAAAAACTGGATCCCAGCAAATAACCACATGTACAACTACTGGGCAAAACTTACTCAGCTGTTCATTACATTATGCAATAAAATATAACAATATTGCAAGAAAGTTATGGTTGCAAAGTCCTGAAGCAACCAAGTGAAGAAATGACAAAGTTTAAGATAGCCCACACTTTCTTCCTTGGGCCTCCAAATTCAAGTGCGGAACAGAGCTCTGTAAACATTTCCTATTATTTCAGTGAAGCAACTGATCAGCTTGCTTTATTCTTTAGAATCCTATAGACTCAGTAAGTACATCAATAGGGCCCCTGTAGTCTCAAGAGATATAGTTTCAACTGATATTTTTCCATTTTTGACACTAGTTACGTACAGGTTTCTCTGTCATCATAAATTCTATCATAATGGCCCCAAATTTTCTTTTTCCTGTATAAAAATTAAGAAAGAAAAAACACCACTTATAGGTCAGTGTGCTTTTAATGATGCTTTTGAGCTCTGTATATCAACAAAGTATGAATATCAGAAAATTCTATACACAGGAACAAAATACTGTTCTGAAGTAGGAGTTACTAAGCATTTCTGGTAACATGTATGTATGCGTGTGTGTGTTAAAAAAGCAGATCTATTATAAATGGAAGGGAATGTAGCACTTATTTCAGTGGAATTACGGCCATTTTCCTGATCTGTGATTTTGTGTTAAATTGGCTAAGAGATCAGTTAAAGTTAATAAGAATTTTCATTCTCAAACTAACCTAAAGCATCTTCTTCCCTGACTTCCCAATAGGATGCTGGTTCAATACTCAGCTACGTAAGCATTTTGCAATATAAAACATGTATTAAACATGATGTTAATGTCAATTTACTTTCCTGAAGCTGTGTCACAAAGCTAACAAGTAAATTGCATGGGATTTCTTTCAGATGAATGGGAAAGCAGATTTTCTTTTCACCCTATATCTGATTTGCCACCTCCAGAGCCATATGTACCCGTGAACAGAAGTTATCCCAGTAAACTAGCAAGAAATGAAAGTAGAGGTAAGTTTGTTCCACCTCTGCCGTTGGAATTTCAGCGTTATCATCCTAAAAACAATGTGGATGGGGAAGAGACTGGATGCTGAGGTTTCAAAACTTCTCAGGCCAACAGCCTGGTCACCCTTCCCCACCACAGAGAAAAAGCTAAATGCAGGTTTGCAGGCACAAGCCCTCTTAAACTTGTATTTGAGGGGGGAATTGTTTGGTTTTTAAGTTGGAACATGTATTGTAAGAGACCACCTCTGCCATTATAGTTAGCCCTTCTGCTACAGGCAGCCAGAACCACAAAATCCCCAACGACTTCCTCCTCACTTCCAATCTAAGTTCATGCACAACTCATTTATTCTTGTACCAACATCGTTCTTGAGTTTAGTTATCCTCCCTCCTTGGTGTGTTAAACCCCTAATATTTTTTAAGACAACAGTCATATCCTCCTCTCAGCTTTTGTTTTGCTGGGCTGATTAAATCAGGATGTACTACACTCTGCTTCCAAGCTATGTTCTCTGATCATCAGGGTTGCTTCTGTATACATTTCAGTTTGATTTTGTCTTTTTCAGTCAGTGTTACATGCTGTTCCAGTTCAGGTCTCAACCATGTCTTCTACAGGAGCATAAATGTTTCCTATCTTCATTAGTGGTATTTTGCCTGATACAACCAAGGATCAATTTACTTCTTTCACAACCAGGGACATCGATGGTTCATAGTCATCCTGTAATCATCTGTACACTCAGATGTTTCTCTCTCTCTCCTGTTTCCAAATGATGAGGTTTTGGTTTGGAGCAGAAATTCCTGTTAGTCTCTGACCCTTCACTTTGCCCTGTTAGCTTTCATCCCATTCGTATTACTCCATGAAGAAAGGCAAAGTAATATATGTGCATTTTTTATGTTTCCTTTCATGAGTTTGCAATGAAAATCTTCATACAGGGAAAAACATGAAGAGCTTTGAAATGGTACTGTGTTTAGAACTTGCCACTTTCATTGAAATTTGCATGTGTTGCAAGTAGCACTGAGAAGGTATGTGTTCACATAAAATAGTAAGGCTAACAAGAGCTATCAATCTGTTTTAAGAAGGGGACAAAGGACTAAAATACATATGCTTTCCAGACATTTGGGGATAGCGTTAGTTAAAAACTTGCTTTTGCACTGTTTGAAGTTCTGATGTTGTTTAATAAACTAACCAGAAACTCTACAAAGATTTTTTAGTAAAATGGCCAGGCAAGAAAATGAGTAGACCTTCACCAGTTACTGAATTAATGGCTTGGATGTAAACTCCCACTTTAAAAGAAACCAGGAGGAGTAACACAAAAACCTTTCTTTCTCTTTTAGGTGGCTCTGGCCGAAAAGAAAGAGGTGCCCCCCCGCTTCCGCCTATACCAAGGTGAAATGAGTTCTGGCCCATCTTTGGGCGACGTCTGTTTTCAAATTTCCTTAGAGTCAGCTCTCCTGTCCACATCATTGGAAAGTTGTCTGGTTTGCTTTATTTCCACTTTTGGCTTGTCAGCTGGAACAAACTTCAGTCTCTATTACAGAAGTAATAGATGCGGCTTATGAACTATAGTTGCTCAAAGCTATAAATTTTATTTGCTTATACTGCAGGCTGTCATGAAAGGCATTTTGTGGACCATACACAGCATACGTGCATCATGCTTACCGTGTCCAGCCCTGTCCCCTTGAGAGCTCCAGAGGAGGTCTGGCTTTGAATTTAATGAGAGCTGGAACAAAGCTGTTTCATTCACTTGGGTACAGTGGCTGTATTATTTGAATTATAAAATACAATCTATTTTCTGTATAAAAAACAGTTGCTGGGGAAAACCGTGTAGCCAAGAGTCCCCTGGATCCTTCTTTGCATGCCTAACTTGGCCCATCTGCTTCTGCAAGCCATAGACCTACTGCACGATGACCAAGAGTTCATCCTAAACCTTTTCACTTCAGCTTAGCCAAGCAAATCTTATTTTAAAACAATAGATAGCACATCCCGCCCCGAGAATGGAGTGTGTCTGGCCTTGTTTTATCTGCGGAGAATCTTCCAAAGAAAAGCACAAGTGAAGAATTCAGCAGCATAAAAATAACTTCTTTTTAATTCCTCTTTCCTTGTTTTTTAATAGTGTTACACTGTTAGTCACCTAATTCTTTCCTACTCTGATGCGGACCAACCCACAGTCATCCGTGTCCTGGATTATTGTAATGCCCTTTACCTGAGACTGCATGCGAAGAGTCCTCAGAAAGTAGTCTTGGTGCAAATGCAGCAATTACTGTAGTTGCAGGCTCCCTCCGTAAAGCATTGCTAACACCAGTGCTCCACAGACTGCTTTCCAGTTGTTTCTTTGGTACAATTAAATGATGGGGTTTAACTTAAAAAGCTTCCTGGGGCTTAGGTCACAAGTCTCAGAGAGATTGTATTTGACTTGTGTTACAGAAGAGCAGCTGAGGTCAAAAACGTGCGTAAGTGAAAGCCCTTTGATGTAGTGGAGGAGGTCTGGGGTTTGTGCGTTCAAGTGGGAGCATCAGCTCCAAAATTTGCTGTCTGCACTGGTTCGAGAGAAGCGGGAAGATTTGGCCTTCTGAGTTTACCATGAAGCCTGTCCTTTCAAACTTTGCCGAAAGGAGTCTCCGCAGAGAGCTGCAAGGCTTCCATTAATAGAAGAGAGAGTGAAGTATTCTAACATTGTGACAATTGGTTAATATGTTTAATGGCTTTTGAATTTTGTGTATGAGAAAAGAGTTCCTCGTATGAGTGCATTTTACAAATGGATCTAAACGCATATAAAATGCCTTTGGAAATTAGAGGAAGATTATAATTCTGGATTTGAAATATTGCTGAACGATAGCTCTTTGTTAACTGGACTTCTGAAGGTTAGCTCTGAAAAATTTCTCCTCTGTCTCCTCAACAGTTTCTGTTTCTTCAACATACTCCTTGGGATCCCTACCCAGTCTGTATCAGCAGCCATGCTTCACAGGGTGTTGCTCAAAAAAAAAAAAATAGAAAAACTAGTCATGTAGATTAAGAAAATGTTTCTCTAGCATGGGAGACATGATCCTAAGTATGCTCTGTAGCTAGAATGAGGTCAGTCCTTGAAAATCTAGGGAATTTAGCCAAAGAGAGTCTGGACCCCACTGAAGCGTTTGTGCATAGGGCTTTTTGCTCTGTCAGTGGGCATGGAGGGGCAGATCCCCTTTCTGCCCAACAGCCTGGGCAGTCACAGTGAAGGGGATGAGAGAGAGTTGGATTTGGCCAGATCAAATTTAATTTGGCCTTTTCAGTGTTTGTTTACAAACTCGTTAGCTGTGACAGCATTTGATTATGTACCTGTCTTTTACATTTTTATATCTAATGACCTATTTCAAGTTACTATTTATGGTCTTGAACCTGCAATTAAATGCGCAGGCGCAAAGATGTATCTACATCTAATTGCAGGATCGTGGCTGTAAGAGTTTCTTAAACAGATATTAGTGGGACCTCCATGTGACAGGTACACCTTGGGATCAAACCTAGCGCAATACTGAATTTGTATATGTATTTTATGGATGTCACTTAAACAAAGTGCCTGTCTCTTTGGGATATTATTATGTGAATAGAAGTCCAAATAAGATTTTTAGGATAATAACTTAAAGGATAAATTATTGTATTCATGTTTTTAAACTGAAGCACTTACAACTTTCTAAGGAACAACATTCTGAATTTAAGAATACAGTATTTCAGTACCTTGACCTGCCAAATCCTTATTAATATCCAAATAGCTATGCAGCCAAAAAAAAAAAACCTCTAGAAACTATACCTTTTTTGTAACTTACCTGCTTCCAGCATGACTGTTTTACTTTGAGTAAGTCAATGAAAATGCTGCACGTTGTTCTGCCGACTCTCTGCATCATTCGAAATATCCTATATCTGATCTTTTGAGCAAGGTTTTCTGACCAGAAATTCTGGACCACTACCAAGACTTGGCAAACCAGCTTCAGTCTCACTTTAAAATGTGCTGTGTAAAAGGCCCTCAGTCAACAAGCCAAGAAACCTGAGCTGCTTGGGTTTGAGCACTTCTTTGTACTATAGAAACCTCTTCAGAATGGATGTTTGGCATATATGTAAAATAGCTTAACAGTGCAGAAAGAGGTATTTTTTCACCTAACAACAGCTTTACTATTTATACCTTTTGCTATAAAAGTCCCTAGAAACATTCCAGAACAGTGCAGCATTTTATCATTCAATATATTGCTTCATATATCAGTAGCTAATTAGAATATCATCAGTATTTATTTCACTATGAAGTGTTAAAAAAGAAGAATGCAAAACATATTGAACCAGTGGTGCCTTATGACTTTTTTTGTCAACTTTTCTGTGTCTCACTAGAAAAATTAATAGGCGTTGCTCTTCCAAGTCCTAATGTAAATAGTGCCAACAGTAGCATTATGCAGCGTTTGAGCCAAGTCCTGCTGTTGTAACGTGCTCTGTCTGCTAACTTCAGATTGAGCTCAGTGTACGGAGAGACTATTGGATCAGTCTTTAGGTGAGATGTCGGTGGGCACTGGTTAACCTCACAATCAATTGTTGGTATTGCTCTGGAAATTTAACCCTTTCCCAAAACCAGTGTCTCACTTTGCAGTCCATACAGCCCAGCTGACTTCAGCGTGGTTGCATAGGTTATTAGAGGACTAAATTTGATTCACTGCTCGCATATAAGATTGAGTGGGTTTGTTTCAATGGCATTGTATTATAAACCTTCACACCTCAAACTATCTTTTTATGTCATCACTAGACTCGCATTGTGTGACAACAGCCACGGATATTCATTTTTGTTTAATTCAAGTCAGTAAATAAAATGGGAACAACTTTTGTACCATATGGCAATAATTTCTGCTCAATATTTTTGGAAGAAAAGCACATGTTATGTTTGTTATGACTTTCTGCACCAGCCAATGGGAGAAGAGGTCACAGTGATTAACATTCAGAATTGTTAAAGGAAACGCAGCTTGTGATTCAGGAAGCATGTATTTCTGTAAATGAACTACTTAAACAAGGTTGCAGAGTTCTTGTTTAGAAGCCGGCATTTCCCAACACTAGAAGGATCATAAGAACGATTTTTTTTTCTGCAAGACTGAACTATTAAAGTTCCTTAAATTGTCACTTAAAAAAATGGACGGTAGTTTCTCCTTGCAACAACAACTGTTTACATGTCACTTGTAGAAGTAGGTCTCTGTTGGAGCAGAGGATGAGGGAACTAAACTGCTATCATGCTTCACATATATTGTAACACAACAATTTTGTATGCAAAAGTATGCAAATAGAAGGGGTACTTTTTGCCTTGGAAGCAAAGAATGGAGTTGAATGATCCAGCTGGGATTATTTCAAGCAGAATGTCAAATGTCAAGAGACCTAGAGGAGGCCCCTCAGCCACAGGAAACGAGAAGAGCGCTCAAGGAAATACAAACCCATTGGCTGAATGTTGCTGTCAATACTAGAGTACAAATCACGATATAAAATGCATGGACGTAATACCACATCACAATAGTGTGAACACCGTTGTCTCACAGTCAGGTGCAAACAACCTGTTATGGTGGTACATTGACTCTGTATGACATATATTGTATGAACTTTCATCTTTCAAACGGTATTCACCAGAAAATAAGGAGAATCTCTTACCTAAGATATCCGATAACACATTAAGTGTAGCTAGTTCATGGAATGATTCTTCACGTACATTAGGAGAAAACGGGGATCTTCTAGCCTGTAAGGTAGAAGTGTCTGGACCATTCAGTTAAAATGTAAACCTGGAGCACTGGCAAAAAGGGGAGTGTTGGAGTTAACTCAGCAGAAGCAGGGCACACGTATATGTTCTTAGTGAGTGAGTATGCAGCAGGTAGATAGGCGGACTAAAAGAAAAAAATGGAAACGGCACGTCTTAAAAAAGGGAGTAACCCTTCAGTATGTTGCCATTTTGAAATACAGTTTGTCTGTGACAAATGTTCTTCAGTGTAAACTAATGCATGCAAAGGAAGACCTCTAAATTTGGACTTCCAAAGCCACACGACTATGAAAGAGAGAGAAACATAACTTAAAACATAGGCTGAGCAGAAAGCAACATGTTTTTATCAGATGCGTAAAGTTTGAGCTTTTTATAAAATATTAATCTAGTTCTGTGAATATTTTTTTGCTTAACATTTATTTTGTATGTGATTTTGTTCTCCTTATTTTTCTGTCCTATGCCAAATAAATTTTACTTTTATTTAATTGGTGGTGCAGACTGTTACATTGAGAACAACCACAGTTGCTTCCTTGACAGAAACACACTTCGGCTTTAGTAGGAGCGTAACAGTGAGCCTGGCGGGAGCTGGGATGGGTTGTTCTCCTCCTCTCCTGCCTGCCCTTGCGCAGCAGCACAGCGGTGATGCTCGGAGGACTTTGGGCCTCCATACAGTGAAGATTAGACATCTGCAGATAAGGAGAAATAATGAGTTTCGTTTAGGATAAAGAATGATTGAAAATCTGTGGTCAGTGATGCTGTACTTGTAGATGGCTGTTGTGTGAGCTATGGGCATTGGCTCTTGGCAGGGCAAGCCAGGCACTTGCCATGGGGAGGTGACATGGAAAATCACTCTAGTTAAACACAGATTTTTGTTCCTCTTATCTCCACTCACTAGGCAGAAGGCTGCCAGAGAATATCAAACAAATGAAACCCTCCTTTTGACTTTGGAGCCCTGTTCTTAATCTTGGATGTTAACCTTTTCAGGTAATTTGGACCAGGTTCATCACAGAAAGGACCTTTGATAAAAGTCCAAAGGAGGCTCAAATTCAGGCTGCACTTCCAGCTTCTCCTCAGAAATTAGAAAGGTCATTTAAAACCCCAAGCTAAAAAGCTCTGTGCCGTAACTCATCTATCTTGCAAAGACTTAGGCAGCAGGTTTACTCTTACACGGATGGTGGATCCTTTGACATCTGTGGGCACTGCTTGTTGATTCTTTCATTTTACAGACTGACTGGGACAGAGACCTCAACTTTTAAGTAAAAGGCTACAGACACTCATGGCTCAGATGTATCCTAGAAGCCCACCGGTCCCGGTGTCTGGGCTATATAAATGGAAGAGCCATGACGGAGGGCAGAGTCTGGGAGTTTGTGAGCTGTAAAGGAGCTGGCTCAACCGGCTGAGAGACCTTTGTTTGCAGATTTTAGTGGCAGTAGCGTGGAACGAGCGCTGGGAGGTATGAATCTAATGATCAGCTAGTAGGACTGTCTATCTCATGTTTTACCAAAGGAAACATGGTTCTTTCTGGTTTTCAAGAAATTAAATTACTTGCTTGACTTCGGGGAGAGGGAACTGAACTGAGCATGCTGTGACCTAGTCATAACCACAACATAGTCTTTCCTCCATTTAACTGAAAAAAATGCTGTTGCTTTAAAATAAACCCACAGACTACGCTGTAAAACAGTTCTGACTGCTCCCTGCAGTTGGAGGAAGGCTCACGTGTTGCACGCAGCACACACAAAAATATCCAACTCCTTTGATCATGGTTCAACAATTTCCAATGACCTTCCTGCCTTGTATGTACAGGCTGCTCCCTTCTGCCCTCTCACCTAGTCTGACTCCATTTCACATTGAAAATAGTAAATTGGTCCTAGCCAATTGTCGACTTGGGGGCTAAATATTGGCCCATACATCTCTGTACAACAATGTATTATTTAGGTTAAGTAATGAAATAGATCAAGAGCCTTCAGGATTTGTTTTTCTCCGGCTAACAGCAAGTATAATGAGCAATTCTTAACAGCTGTTTCTGCTGTCTTACGGTTCTCTGAGAATTACCCAAATATGTAACATGATGTAAGCTTGATTCCAAGTTTCATTTTCTGTTACACTCTTAGAGGTCCTATACATTTTATTTTATACATAATGAAACTGTGTGGTTTACACTTTTAAAAGAGCTCATCCTTTTCACTTGTTGAATAGGACTCTCTGTAATCCTCCTAAAAAGTTCATACTTACTCTTCCAAGCTGTGGGGGTCTGGTGCACACAGTGGCATGCCAACTTTAAAATCAAGTAATTTTTTGTCGTGAGCAAAAATGTTTCTCCCCATACACATTAATTTCTATGTACAAACAGAGCTGTGCCTGGGTGCTACTCCCCCTTTCAACTACATCACAATAAAAACTTTGCAGAGCACATGGGGGCCTCGGTAACCTTTTCTGTACCCTGCCGGTTGTTATGCCTTTGGGGTATCTGTGCTGCTTGGTCTACGTGTGTTTACACAAATACAGACTGCTAATGAAAAACTTTGGTGAAGCATAAAAGTAAACAGGATAGCACTTTGTCTCCACACCGTAGATATTGCAGCAGCACTGGGAATAAAAAGCAATACGAATAATTTCTGTTTCTAATGTGAGCTAGTAAAAGCCTCTGAGCACACGGATTACATCCACTGAGTAATGTACAGGTCTTATAAAGACACCTCTGAGCAGAATGATTGTTTCACATTGTAGGATGATGTACTTGGCTTCATCAGCAGTAACTTGTCTTTTCTGTAACTCCTGAAAGCATTCCTCTAAGAATTAATTAATGCTGCCATAAGTCTCAGAAGATGCTCATCTGACAACTCCCTCGCATTGCCTTTCTTGTGCCTAGGAAATCTCCTAATACAAGCTCCGTTAGTCCACTCATTTGCATCCTAGCAATGTAAGTGCACTCTTCTTGTGTAGCAGACCCATGATAAGCAGCCCTACTATCACTTCCCAAAATGAGGCAAAACTGCTTGTTGTCTATCTTACAGTCCCCAAAGGCTGTAAGGTGGCAGCTTAATGGAAAAGACAATCTCTCAGTTGTGTTAAACTTTCAGTTTCAATAGTCAAAACTCTCTGGGAAAGACTGCATAACGGATTCCTTCTGTAGTGGATTTTTTCAATTGTTAAATTAAAAAAAAAGCGCTACTGGTTTATTCCATTCTTTCATAGGTAATGGAAACAGATATTTATATGTTAAAATTTTGATACCCAAGGGTCTTCATTTCAACAGAATTAGGACACAATCATTTGAAACAGTTATGAGCCTGCACACTTCTGTTATTTCCTACATTGGCAATCAGGCTCTTAACCTATCTAAAAATTTCAACAGCAGTCCAGGTACAGAAATAATCCTGAGGAAAGGATGACTGACACAAAAATACTTCGATTAAAACACAGAGAATAAATTGGGTGGCTGCTGCTAATGCTACCTGTGTCCAACATCAATCTGTCTACTGAACAAAAACATCAGTTCAGATAATCACTACTTCAATCTTAAAACACGTATTTATGGCTTAAGACACAGCTTCTGCAGAAGCTACATTCAAAATGCAAAATAGAAATCTATCATGAATGCTGTCTATATGATATTGTCAAACTTTCTACTCCACTACAATAGGGTACTTTTTAATTTTCATAATTTTTCCTCTCTGTTTTTACCATTCTTTCTTTCTTCCTCAAATAAAAAAGTTATTTCTTCAAGAATGCTAGGGTTTAGCCTACATAAATACCTTTCTCATTTTGAATATGGAATTGTGCTTGTTGTTTAGTTTTTTGCTAGAATACAGCAGAAATCTCTGCCTAAGCACCTCTAAGGTAAAGGCACGCAGTGAGGCTGAGGACAGAAGGGCTGTTGGTTGCTCTTCATCCTTCCTCTCACCAAAACAGGAACTGCTGATCCCTCTCTGCAGCCAGGCCAGGGCTTTATCACTGTGCAAGTCCCTTTTCAAAACCATTCCCTTCCCAAAGGGGACCGCTTTGGCTACGTTTTACATTTACTTGTGTGCATAATTGTTTGGCTCCAAGCTTGTGTGAACTCCGTACCCGATAAGGTACATAACCAATCCCCTTCTGAAAATGTTTTTTTGTATTCACACAAAGATGGGTGTTTAGGTAGTTCTGTATCTCACATCCTACCTGACTTGAAGTAAGCATGTGAAAATGAGTCTTTCCTGTCCTCCGTTCTAGCAGAAATTTTAGTAAATTCAGAGTTACCGGTGAGCCCTCACATGCCCTGTTGAGCAGCAGAGGGCACAGGGCAGCCCATGCAACTGAAGGCCAAGCACTCTCAAGCCATGAGAGCAAAAGGTGGCTGAAGCACTGAGAGCACTTGTGAAGAGAGCGAGGTAAAGGCTGTGGGTGAAAGTCTAGGCTTAAAACCCAGCCTCTGTCATATGTATGTTGATACTGGAACTAGCGTACGTCCTAAATAATGTCCATTGAGCTGGTTGTCAGAGACTGCAGAGCCCGTTAGTACTTTCTGTGCTGCCCCAATGCCAGCCCTTGCTGCAGACTGCTCAAATCCTTCTGTTGATGTTTTTTTTTTTCTCCCTATTTAAAATAGAAACTTTCACTTCTGCTATTTGGCCAGTAGCTTGGGCTACTTATGAAACTCTGGGACCTTTGTTTGAAAACATACAGATATCCTGTTCATTTCCTCTAAATATCTAGTTTATTCTCCTCAACTGCACCTGCAGGACTTCTGCTGTGCCTTCATCCAAATGCCTATCAACTGTGGGGTTGGTGTGTTTGCTCCAGATCATTGCCGATTTAAAAACAAAAATCCTGCTGTGTGCTTTAAGAGAATCACCCCACACCCTCCATGCCAGGACCTTCATTCCTCCCTCTCATATACATACTGGCCACTTGTGTAGCTGGGAAGGGGAAATGTAAATCCATTTTTTAGCTGCAAACATTTCTAATGTAAGTCCAAGTTCAAGCATGCATCATAAAATGAGAAACTTTGTATGCTTGTGTTTGCTTTTAACTAAGCAGGTGGGAATAGGTATTATGCACCTCCAGCCTAGGAATTTCTCTTTGTGCTGAGAAATACTCTGCCTCTGATGCAAGAGAAGCTTTCTGTCCTCCAAGTAATCTAAACTTTGATTCTAAGCCATCAGAGGCTCGATACATTATAGAAGAGCATGTTAGACTGTCAATTAACAGCAAGAACATTCCCTGCAATCATCACCAGGGAATTTTATTTTAAACACTTGTTTCTAGAGCTCTCTTTTTTTAACAAGCTTGTATTCCCCCCCTATTTTCATACAGGAAATTATTTATTTTTATGAAAGGCTCTAGTTTCCACAGCAGATGACAATTACGAATCCAAATGGCATAGTTTGCCAAGCCCTGCTGAAGCAAATGGGTGAAATGAGGGCTTCCCTGAAGC